TTTTTTAAACCACTCAATAACTTTTGAATTAGTATCTAATGTTCTTTTTCTTAAATAAAAATTTTAAAAAATTTTAAAAAATTTTTATATTATATAAATTGATATAAAAAATATTTTTATTTAATAAATAAAATATAATTTAAATAATAAAAAAAAAAAATTATTAACTAATAATTAAATATTTTAAATATTTTTTATAATTTGCAAATTGATAAGAAAAAATATTTAATTAATATATAATAAATTTATTTTTATAATCTAATATTATAGTATATACATTCTTAAAAGTATATTTTAAAATAACATTTATTAAATTTAATATTATTATATAACTTTTTAAATTATTTTATAATATATAATATATTAAAAATAACAATATTATCTATATATATATAATAAAATAAAATTTTTAAAATTTACTAATATCTCTATAAAACCTATTTTTAAACTCTAAATAAACCCAATTATTTTAAAAATTAAAAATTTGAAATAAAATTAAAAATTAAAAAAATTAAAATAAATATTAAAATAAAAATTACAATTAAAAAAAATTTTTTTTTTATAAAAAAATTATTAAGATTAAAAGAAATTAATAATACCAGTAATAAAAAAATTAAGTAAAAAAAATAAAATTAAAACTTCATACCCAAAGCAACGCTTGGCACAGAAGCTAGTTATTGTATAATATGTAAGCGATGCAATTTTATATAAAAATCATTATTATATTTACAAGTAACATCAGCTACATTTTTTTTATAGATTGTTATAATGTAAAATATATGCACCGAATTCCGATTTCAAAATTATGCAGGTAATCTAGGTGGTAAATTTGCATCTGGTTTAGAACTCTAATCATCTCTTAAGTTTTCGTGCAAATTCTAGTAAAAAAGGGCCTATGTTGACCGCATCCAGTTGATCTTCATCCTTGTTTAATAAACTATTGAAAATTGGTAAAAGTATTTTATGAATTGACTCAGCTTGATCTCTTAGATCTCTATTATTATCTGTAATATCTTTATGTTCCATCTTCTTAGCTTCTGATAAAACTTTGGAACTTTGAACTTGTGATCCTGCCACCGCTTGTTTTTCTGTGAGTTGACGATCAGTGATGGCAAGAGATTTCAATTCCATTTCTTGTTCTTTGTATTATAAGAATCAAAATTGATATGAAAAGTAAGTGATAAAATGGACAAATTATTTGGAGAAATCATAAGAAAAAACCCACAATTTGATCTATTTACCTTCATGGAATTGTGTAAATTGTTCCGAGAAAATTGGAAATGGCACATCTAATTTTTGCAACTCATTATCTAATAAGAAATATGGAAAATCAGATGATAAATCAGATAATAGTATCAACCAAAACCAAACCAAGAATAATTTAAGACGATCTTCCTTTACCAATCGCAAAAACTTGAGATTGGGAATTCGGTATAGGAGGCGGACAAGACTAAGAGATTAAAGATTATAAATCATGTATTGATCTATCAGGTTATGATGTTTTTGACGGGAAGTTACATACTACATACATTGAAGTTAGTTGACGACTGAAGTATGTCATTTAGCGTGTGAGAATTTGAAGACTGCTGCCCAATTTGACTGTTGTATCGCCCATTATTTTGTGACCTTCTACCGTTCGAAGTCGAACTATGTACATTATTCAAACCATTAACTCGAGTAGACCTGTGATCTATGCCGTTGGTAAACTGTTCATTTTCTGAATCTTGACCATTTAGATCAACAGGCGCATCACTGTCTACAAACCAAGGTTCGTAAAGTTAATAACAAATTTAAAGATATACAACACTGACTCAAAAAAGAATTTATTTTACTCTCGGAAGCAAGTTCTTCGGAAGTATCACTATTATCCTCGACAAAGTCCTTATCGTCGAGAACAAACTCTTTGTCTGAGTCTTCAGAATCGTCAGGCAGATCAGCAATCAACCAATCTTTGTCCATGTAATTCTTTAAGTTTATTATTCTAATATTTAAGTTTTTATTACTGTATTACGAGATGATAATTTTATACTTAAATTTGCCAAATTTGGTATAATTTAGGCCAGAATTATTGTTTATGAAAATTTTACTCTTTTATTTATATATATTGAAAATAAAGCCAATGTCACGTGACACATGGTTAAATATGTTGCACGTTAACGATAAGCGCATACTACGCATCACCTAAATACTCCATAACTGAATTGTAACCTTTTGCTAAAGCGAGATGTTTCAAAATTCCTGTTGCAGGGAGCCCTTTTTTTCTTCGACAAAATGAACAATTACATACGCCTCGACATTTCGGACAATTCCACTCACCAGAACTTCGCGCTTCTTCGAGTGTTTCACCATATCTTTTATAAAGGAATTAATAAATTTTGTTGAATATTTAAAATGAAATAATGTAAAAATATTACCTTCCAATTAAACATCGTTCGTCCATCATCACTTTACAGAGAGTTCCATTTTCTAATACATTCTATAAAAAGTAATTAATTGATATATAAATACGTGTTATCTTTGTTACATTCTCATAGCATTCATAGCATTTCGCAATCTTACCGTGCATTGTACTTTATCCTCAATAGTTTTTTGTCTACATTGATGACAAGTTGTTCCTATTTCTGAATCATAAATTCTACCACCATAAAATCTACGCCCTTGATTATTTCTTCCTAAAATTTTATATTTGGCCTTAAATTCGGTCTTATACTTGGTCTTATACTTGGTCTTGTATATAGCATTGAAATAAATACAAGAAAAATATGATTAATTTTCCATAATATATTATCATTTTTATTCTTTTAGGTTTACCTTTGTGACCTTAGGAATGACACGTCGCAGAGGGGCATAAATGGGTCGATAACTTTTAACGCGTAGATTATACCTAGGTTTCTATGAAAGCCATGTCTTACTTAACCCACTCACTTAATTTTTTGATTATAATAATTGACTTACCATTTGCTCTATTCTCGGACTCTTACGCGAAGGTGTTCGGTCCTGTTGTGATTCTTCTGAGTCAGCTTGACGTCTAGGTGGCCTTTTAGGTTTAGGGGGTTTAAGGCTAAAATTAACAAGGCCGAGTTTTGCCAGTAAAGCCTTGTTTTGTTCTATACGTTCTAGCCTCTCTCTTTCATAGTCCTCCCCCACCTTTTTTCGAATGAAATATTTTAATGGTAGTTCGATTGAATTATATGATAAACAATAAATTAGTCGCAAGTATTTAGTCATAATTACCGCGTATGTTGGCGCAAGCACTTCGTTACGATCAGTTCCTCCCATTTATTTTATTAAATGAGCAAAGAACACAATCGACAGCTTTGTTCTAATTGTTTTAATAGAACTAGCACGAAACTGACGTTTTACGTCATTCCTGTACAGATCGGAATCCTTCGGAATGAGTCAGCACATGATGATTTTGTTCTAACTTGATTGGCTGGTATTTCTTCCGATGGTTTCCGAAAAGGAGTTTGGATTCGATTATTTCAAAAATGTATATATCGGTAAATCTCGTAAAGATAAGATAGACAAGTTGACCCAAGGCCCCCCTGTACAAATATAAAAAACAAGGTTAAATCAAAAAGCCTTAACAATAATTGCTTAGTTTAATAAAGAAAATGAAACTTTTTTCTTTTTAGTATTCATTGGTATAATCTTTGCTATAGGTATGTGACATCTGTGAAATTCAAGTTTACAGCAGTTTTCAAAAAGATGTGGAAAGGCAGTTTTTATGATGCATATATGTGGTATAACTTTTTGTTTATTTATATAAACAAATTTATATAGTTTTTTTTTCTTATTGCAATTGTGATATAACAAAACCACCTCATAAAGGTAATAAAACTGATGCCGTCAAGTATGCGTATATCCGAATTTTTACTCCAAACTGGACAGTGGATCAAATGTCTTTTGTTAGCGTTAGTGACAAAATATTATAATATAATTACGCAGTAAATTTGAAGGAGTTTTTTAATTTTCACTTTGTTCACGATGCAATAATGGGGTTACTCAAGTTAGCATCAGCAAAAAAAATCATCATCCAATTCAGTAAAGACAGTCAAAAATCGGTCCAAAAGAAATACTATACACCATTTTAAGTCTTCACTGTATATAGGAGAGCAATTAAAGAAGGCTGTGCCAATTTAGCCAAATCGTAAATATGAAATTCAACTTAAACAGTAAATTTATTATGTTGGATAATGAATATTAATTAAAAAATTATGAAGTAATAAAATATGGCATTTACATAAATTAGGAGTTATCTATATATCGCACAGTGCGATACATACATTTATTCTTTAAATTAATAGAAATTTTTATACATGGGAGGTATGAATAGTAAAAACGGAGTATTGACCTAAAATAATGACAAAAGATATAGCGTAAAAAATATTTATTTTAGGAATTTTTGAAATAATTAAAAATTATTTTTAACTTTACTAGTGCTCTTAGCATAGTCGAAGAAACTAGATCTATTAGGAAATTACCGAGAATCTTTACTGTCGCGAGTTACATTTAAAAAAAGAAGAAATATTGGAAATCTTGTGAATTTCCCGTGATATAGTGATCTGAGCCTTTCCACGTCTTTTTGAAAACTGCTGTGAATGTTTTATAACATGTAGGCACCTATGGTTTTAAAGATAAAGATACTCTTTTGTAAATTATTATTTAAAAATATACAGTTTGTAGAAAAAACAATCCCGAGATTCCCAATATTACAGCTGTTTTCAAAAAGGTGTGAACAACGATTTCCATATACTGTACCTATATAGGAATCAAAAGAATCTTAAAATTCTGATTAGGAAATTCAAAATCCGAATATAGCGGGTCTTTAAAACTCCGGAAATTTGGGAATTATCATCAACTTCCCTTGATATGGTGATCTACGTTCGTTCACACCTTTTTGAAAACAGCTGTAATTGACCAATTCTTGTGTATTACTAGATATATTATTAGAAAAGTAAAAATCGAAGAGAAATCTTGGAAATCTTTATAGTTAGCAAGATAATTAGATTTATTTGCTAAAATTAGGGAATCTGTAGGATCATTAGGTGGTCACAGTAATTTGAAAAGAGCGATAAATAAAAATAAAAAATATAGTAATATAAGGCCACACAAAATTATATAATTGTCCCGCCCGCGTCAGCGGAGTTTGTAAAAAAAATTTTTTTTTTTTTTTTATATAGTTAACCAATAGGCAAAAATACCATTCATGATGAATCGGGATAGAAAAAAAAAAATCGATTTACGTACTGTCCTGATAGGGTTCTTAGAAGAATCCGAAGCTAATTTCTCATAATGTGCTTAGTTATAATAAGGATGCCAAGTCTTAACTCTTGATTAATTTTATAACGTTGATTTCAAGGATCCGTATCATTTCACCGACAATCATTTCATCGACAGCTCATTTAGCTGACATCACGGCAAGTGACAATTTACTAATAATATATACCTGAAACTAATAAAACCCTAACCCTAACCCCATGTGATATCAGCTAAATGAACTTTCGGTGAAATGACTGTCAGTGAAGTGAACGGCACCGGATTTCAATGTAAACCTAATAATTTACCTTAACATAGATAAATAAGGATCTATCTGAATTTTATGTATTATGACCGAAAAATAATTGCATAGTTATTTAACAATTATTTGTTATTTCTCGAATATTGGCCTTTCAATTGGATTATGCAGTCATCAAATTTGTTTGCCATCGTTTTATACTTCGATAGTAATGTGGTTTTTTGAATTCTATCAGGAACGGTATTTAAAGTAATTGCTTTTTCTATCCTATCAGGAATAGTACCGACGATCCATCAGTAGTTTAAAAAAAAAAGTTTTCCAAAAAAAGCCGTTATACTGTATATATTCTGAAGTCTATACTCAACGGTTACACAAAGTGGTTCAATTTTTTAAATGGCTATAATTTTTATATAAACTTCCAGCACCATATTTCAGTATTTAGATATTTTTTTACTGCGGGTATGGTTTGATTTGATTAGTTTTTGATGATCACTCTACCGTGTCACGGATTACTATTTCGTGTTATGAAAACCAATTCTACGTATAAACTTGGTCTAATAAATTTTATATATGGGAGCAAATTGTGGATTGACCACAGTAAATGGCAGGTAAATGAATGGGTATTTTTTACTCTGCAATGATAGTTCGATTGGTGTATTTGTAAGCTAAGATTGTATCGATTTCTGAAAACGGGGCTAGATACAAAACAAATTAATTGATATTGTGAAAAAGTTAAGAAGAAAAAGGAACTAGATATATATATCAGATAGGTTATTAGTAATAGAGCATAAAGGAAATAGAAAGAGAAAAAGGATGGATATAGGTTGGGTTATAGCTAATGAGAATAGTAGTAGGAATAGCATTAGTTTCAATAGTAGAATAGCTAACTAGTTTTTTTCAACTCGAGCAAAACTAGGTGTGATATAGATAGCTTTGCTAGTAGCTTCAGCTAGTGCAAAAGTGAGATTATACTCTGACAGCAATGTAGCAATAGAGGGAATATAAGGTTTCCAAAACTGAATAAATATCAGAAGCATGTTTAAAACCAAGAATTATAGTTTGATTAATCAAATAATAGATTGTTATAGAACTAAAAACATTGAGCTAGAGCTGATTAAGATTAAAGGCTATAGTATGAATTACTGGAATGAGAAAGCTGATAAGTTAACAAAGAAGGTTTCTTATTTAGCCTAGTATTAGAAGTATAGGATATCATAGCAGGCAGTATAAGAGTAGTACCAACTTAGAAAAACAAGCTAATAGACAGCCTGCTTAGATCCTTTGTCAACATAATTACAATAATATCATATGAATATAAATAGGCAGACCTGAATAATATTAAACTAATACTAGATTAAAGATCAAATAGACAAAGTAATAAAGAGCTAAACTAGAGAAATATATGGAGCCTGTTAAAGAAGCTCTAGAGAAAGAGATATACTAGCATCAAAAAAAGCAAAGCTCTAATCTTCAGAATAAAGTATCTTAACAAGTTATTACTAACTAAAGACCTCTGCTTCCAAAAGAACTCAAGCCTATATAAGAGTAAAACTTGTATAGTATACTTTGCAAAAGAAGAATCATTAGAACATATTGCAGAATACTAGATATATCAAAAAATTTGAAAAAAGATCAAAAGGTTAATTATAGAAGAGCTGAGTATAAAAATTGATAATAGATAGAATATAGCTATCTCAGATCAGACTCTAAAAGAAATACTTATAGGACAGAATATAGCTAAGATATTTAGTAGAAGAAAATTATATATCTGAGGTCTAACAAGTAATCAGCTTATAACAAATATTAAAAATATTTTAGGTTCTGCCTCCAAAACTAGCAAGACAATAAGCTGGTTTTCTGATCTATTCTAGTCTAATTTCTTTGAAAGACTATAGAAATTTCATTATGAGATTATGCTAAAATGAGAAGAAAGAAATAATATCAAGTTTAAAGAAAAAAAGAAAAAAGCAAAGCAGAAACATAAGAAACTTGAAAAAGAAAATATAGCAAACAAAAAAAACTAAAACTTAAGCAGAAATAACCATGAAAAATCAAGCAAAGGTAAAGAAAAAAGAATACAAAACCTAGCTGAAGCTAAAGTAAAAACATGCTCAAAAAAGTTTAAAGGAAAGCTAGTTAAGTTTTAAAAATAACTAAAGTATCTTAAAATAGATGCAGAGAAGCTTTTTATAGATCACTAGAGTATGTCTCTGCTTAGGCAAACTGCTCTAATAGGAGGAAAATTACTTTTGTAGCTAATCACACTTAAGTATCTAAAGTAGCCAAGTGAGTTCAAAATTAGAAAAGGAGAGTAGTTATATAGCAAATATAAATTAGTTTTTATTTTTGCTATAACATTATATATGTTTTCTCTTAATAAATGAAGAACAAGATTGCTTAAGTTAAAAAAAAATAAATGTAGAGTAGGATAATATAAGTAGAAACATTAAATAAGCAGCAGAAGAAGAGATTTTAAAAAAGAAGATAATGAGTTCTGATATTAACAAAGCTCTAAAAAAAAGGTATTTAGAACTACAAAGTATGTAAATATGATAAAAAAAATAGTTAAAAGTTGCAAGAAAAAGAAAAGGCTCTATAGAACAAAAGAAAAGCAATTAGAGTTCGAAAAAAAACTAGACAAGATTAATAAGAGTACAAAATTAAACATAGAAATTGAAGGATATTTGTGGAATAAACAATTACAAGAAGAATTAACAAAATAGTGAAAAATTATAAAAAAAAAACTAGTAGTAGAAAATAG